CTAGACCCGAAAGGTCAGCTTTCCTGCTCCTCTGATGCTGCTTGGCCTGCTGTGTTCCTCCAGCTGTACACCTTGTTATCTTAGATTCTCCAGCATCTGCAGTTCCTACTATCTCTGAAACTGCTTTGGACAACTGTTTTCTCCATTCCTCTGTCATTGCCCTTATTGAAATTGAGGACACTGGTTTGAGATTGAATTTGCTGAACCTCAAACTGAATTTGAAATTTTTCTATATTGTGATTGCTGCCCACTACAAGATCCTTAATTATGAGATCTCTATTAATCCTGCCTGATTTACACATTGCTAGATCTAAAATAGCCTGTTCCCAGGTAATTCTGCAACATACCGCTCCAAGAAGCAAGTCCTGATGCACTGCACAAATTCGACTTCCATGTCAGCCTTGCCCATTTTGATTTGTATTGCCAATATGCTGACTGAAATCATACATTGGACTCTCCACAATTAGTGTCCTCTTTGCATGTCTTCATTGTTTTCCAAAGTGGTTCAAATGAAGTCTGTCTCTCTTTGCCCGATAGTGGTGCCAGAGCTTTTCCCATATCAATCTTTCAGCCATGCATTTATCTCTCATTTTATTTGCCATATGTCAATTTGCATATAGTTCAGGTAGAAATCCAAAGATTATGATCTTTGGGTTTCTACTTTTTAAATTAGCCCAAGCTGCTTGTAATCCCTCAACAGAATCTCCTTCCTCATTTTACTTGTGTCATTAGTACCTACTTGGACCACAACAGTTGGATCCTTCTCCAGTCTAGAAGGTGCTTGATGTCCTGGCAGAGATAACATGGAAATTGTGAAGCAAACTTTTAAACCTCATTAAATATGGGATAGTGCCAGAGCTCTGGCAAATGGGAAGTGTTCTTGCACATTTAACAAAAGAGAACAAGATGAACGCAGCAACTGCAAATTAGAGGAAACAATTTTTAAAATCTCAGCAAGTGGTTGTGATCTAAATGGAAAGGGTACTGGTAGTAATGTAAAAAGTAGTAATGTTCAAAAGGGAATTGGGAAAATATTAGAACTCAAAAAAATTATACAAGGCTTTGGGGTAAGTGTATAGGACTGGGTTCAATTGGTAGAGTGTGGCAAAAAGCAGGCAAAGCATGATGGGCAGAATAGCCTCATTCTGTGATTCTGGTAAAGACTTGTTATGCCACTGTCAGATTATATCAGTGTGCAATCTAGTCTAAATATAAGCTGTTGTTGCTATCACTCTGATCTTTCTTTCAGATCTACCATTCTGCAACATTTATAAATTATATGTACTGAACCCAGATTTTTCTGGAAAATGTCGCTAAGCATCTGTAGATACTATTCTACATTCAAATTCTAATTCTATTTACTTTCCAAAATTCTGCAATGTTTCTCATTGCCAATTGTTTTTTGTTTCCAAACTTGTAAGAACTAACTTGCAAAAGCATCATCTTGTCCCCATTCTATATTAAAATTTCCCAAGTTTTTTTTTGTTTACTTAGAAGTACATTTCAGGAATGCTTGATTTGTACATTTGTGACATCAACTTCTGACTTCTGCCCTTAGGTTCTAGATTCATGATTTGCAGAAACCTTGGGCAAAGAGCGACTGCACAAAACGAAGTGAGCCTGAAACTGAGTTCCACTATGGAAAGTGGAATTTTCATCATGTGTAGTACTAGGAAGAAAATCATTTTGAACAGGTAAACCTCTCCCCTAGCCCCATAATAATTGTAGAACAAAAGTATACTCTTTTTTTGAATGATGAGAGACAACATTGTAAGTGTGCCACGCAGAAATAAAAATCCACATAGTGAATTGGTATAATAATGGATGGATAGATCACCTATCCTCTGTTAATATGCTTAATGGAACATTCTCACAACTGTAGTTACCCAAAAACCTGGGTAACATGTGATTTCAATAAGTCAATTCTTATTATTTATTTGAAAAATATTCTCACTTTCACGAAACTGATACTTGCAAATTGTTTATGTATTTATAAGCTGCGTGCAAACTTTCATTGAAATCTGAGAACGTTTGAGACACCTGGGACATTCCTTGGGGGAAGTGCCCTTGGCCCAATCATGTTCAGCTGCGTCATCAATAATTTTCCCTCCATGATGTCAGAAGTGGGAATGTTCTTTGATTGCACATGTTCACCACCATTCACAACTCTTCGTGCACTGCAGTAAGATGTGACAATATCAAAGCTTGGGCTGATGAGTGGCAAGTAACATTCACATGCAAGTGCCAACCAATGAACATCTTGAACAAGACAGAATATAGCCATCTCCTCTTGACTTTCAATAACCTTACCATCACTGAATCTCCACCATCAAAATCCTGGAAGTTATCATTGACCAGAAACTGAACTGGACCAGCCATATAAATACTGTGGTTAAAGCAAAAAAGTTAGAGACTAGGAATTTTTCAGCGAGGTAACTCGACTCCTAACTCTCCTGAAACCTGTCCACTGTTCGCACTGCAAACGTCAGGAGTGTGATGGAATACTGCCCATTTGTCTGAATGAGTGCCGCTCCAATAATATTCAAGAAGCTTGACACTATTCTGGACAAATCAGCCTACAAGATTGGCAACCCACTCATGATCTTCAACATTCACTTCCTCTAACACTGATGCACAGTGGTTTTAATGTGTACCAGCTACAAAATATAGTGCAGTAACTTACCAAGCCACCTTTCCAAACTGCACCTCTAACCTATCGGACAAGGATTATAGAAGGATGAGATCGTGACCGCCTGCAAGTGTCCCTGTAAATGGTAGACTATCCTAACTTGGAACTATATCATTGTTGCTGGATCCAATTCTTAAAACTTTCTACCAGTACTGTGGCTATACCTAATCTCAGTGGACTGCAGTGATTCAAAAAGACCGGCTGCGTGGTGGTTCAGTGGTTAGCACTGCTGCCTCACAGGGTTCAATTCCTGTCTCGGATGTCTGTATGGAGTTTGCACATCCTCGTGTCTGTGTGGGTTTCCGCTTGGTGCTCATGCTTCCTCCCACAGTCCAAAAAAAATGTGTAGGTTAGATGGATTGGTCAAGCTAAATTCCCCCATAGTGTCCAGAGATTGCAGGTTAGGTGGGTTAGCCATGGTAAATGCAGGGTTACAGGGATAGGGTGGTGGACTGGGTCTGAATAGGATGCTGATGGACAATAATTACTGGAACAGATAGTAATGTCCACATCCAGTGAATAAATTTTAAAAAAAAACAGGGCATGTTTATAGAGTCATAATCCTTCAGTCCAATTCGTCCATGCTGACCAAGTTTCCCGAACTAAACTTGCCTCCGGATGGCTCATATCTCTCTCAACCTGTTTCATCCACTACCTACAACAAAACCAACTGAATTTGAAATAAGAGAATTTTCCTTGTACATTATTTATGATGCATTGACTAACAAAGCCCTTTTAAAGGAATATTATCATGGAGCTTTTTATTATTTGTTCTTGGGTTGTGAGTGTCATTAATTTCCTGAAACTGGTGGTGTGCCACACCCTCTAACCTCTGCAGTCTGTGTTATAATAAAACCCACAGTGCTGTTAGGAAAGGAGTTGTATTCCAAGCCCAAGATTTTGACCAGCAACAGTGAAGGAACAATAATAGCTTCAAGTTAGGATGGTGAGTGATTTGAAGGGGTACTTGTACATATTCTTTCAATGTGTTTGCTGCCCTTGACCCTCTTGAGTGGTTAAAGTCACAGATTTAGAAGACTTTTGAGCAAGCAAACATATAAACAGCAATAGAAATAGTATTTGCACATAGATTATTTGAATTTGATAAAAGAAGCACAATCTCAGTATCTCTGGGTTTGAATCCTGCCATAGTAGATATCTGGAATTGGGAGTCTAAAGATGACCATGAAACTAATGTAGATTGTTTGAAAAACTCATCTGGTTCACCAATGCCCTTTAGGGAAGAAAACTCTATCCTTTACCTGGTTTGGCCTCATTGTGACTGCAGACCAACAGCAAAGTGGTTGACATTTAACTGTTTGCTGGGCAATTAAGGGAGGATAGTAAATGCTGGACTGGCCAATGATGCATATATCCTGTGAATGAATTTTTAGAAGAAAGTATATTATCAGTATATCAACAAAACTTACCATCCTGAAGTCCTCTTCATTATTTGCTAAGATCGTGGAATGGGCAGGCAGACAGAAACAATTTAATAAAGATTATGTTTGAAGGGAAAAAAAATATATATAATTAAAGAATAGTGCCACCAGGAATGAAGAGGAAAGGATGTTCATATACATTATCAGAGGCATTCAGTACAACAACGATAAAGTAATGAATATATGCAAAATTTTAATTAGGATACTTTTGTGCAGTTTTAAATGCCCCGTTTACATGAAGGATGTTAAAGCTATCAAGAGCATGCACTGTAGATTCACCAGAATTATAACAAGGATGCAAACTGTAGTTTGAGACGAGAATTATTACATGCAGAGACTTTTAAATCTGTGCACTGATTCTGCATATAGAAATAGTTAATCAGTATCACCATTTTAACATTGCCACTTCTGATGAAGTGTCAGCTTTTTCTGAAGAAGGGTCCTGACCTGAAATGTCAGCTTTCCTGCTTCTCCGCTGCCTGGCCTGCTGTGTTCCTCTAGCTCCACGCTGTTATCTCTGACTCCAGCATAGGCAGTTCTTACTATCTCTCAGCAATCAGAACTGGTCAGAATTAGCAGCATTTCCTGTTCATATTTCAGATTCCCAGGATCTGCATTATTTCATATTTGGGGTTATTTGCAATTGCTTCAGCAGTGGCAACGTAGACACAATGGACCTAATAGACTTCCACAGTACTGTAAACGTCAATGCTGGAAATCGGAAACAAAGTCAAAGTTCTGAAGAAGTGTCACTGGACTCCACGTTTACTCTGATTTCTCATTACAGATGCCAGACCTGCTGAGTTTTACCAGCAATTTCTGTTTGATGCTGTAAACACGTTTGAATAAAACACTGATTACGTGAAAATACTTCTGATATTGGAGCAAGATGCTGAAACAGATTGATATATTTATTCACATTCATTACTGGAGACAAAGTACACAGGAGAATGAGGATTTTATCTCCTTTGAAAGACTATAAACAATTAGAAGTGCATTTTGTTCTATGATTCACTGTGAGCCATTAGAACATTATTCCAGATGTGGTTTGAGTTGAGTAAGTAATATAGAAATGCAATTGACAAAGTAAGACTTTTATTTTCTGAAATCAGTTCAGTCACACTACACACTGAAACAACTTATGAAACACTCAACACCTTTTACTGTTTATAGGTTCTAAGTGCCAAATGTGTTGAACACATGAAACATCAGAGAGAAGAAAAAGAAGTCCATTTACATCAGTACAACTGGGCCAAACTCTTGTCCAGAGATCAGGCATTCTGTAGACTGCGATGGCCACTGTCATCCCTGGTGATCTTTTAGAAGTAAAGGATACTCAGAAGGTTCTAGTGGGGAAACGTAAACAAAGTGACATCAAATCGAGAAAATCCTTTCCTTGTCAGTTGTGTGGAAAAATCTTCACTAGTGTTGAGAAATTGAAAGTGCATTCGTATTCACACACCGGCGAAAGACCGTACAAGTGTTCACACGAAGCCTGTACCAAGGCATTTGTGTCTAAGTATAAGCTATTGAGGTATGGAAAATTTGATACATTATAGGAATTATTACTATTTTACAGCAACATCAGGGATATTTCATCATAGAATCCCTACGGTGTGGAAACAGGCCCTTCGGCCCAACAAGTCCACACCGACCCTCTGAGCATCCCACCCAGACCCATCCCCTGTAACCCACCTAATATACACATCCCTGAACACTGTGGGCAATTTAGCATAGCCAATCCACCTAGCCTGCACATCTTTGGACTGTGGGAGGAAACCGGAGCACCCGGAGGAAACCCACGCAGACATGTGGAGAACGTGCAAACTTCACACACAGTCCACAGAGGGTGGAATTGGACATGGGCCCCTGGCACTGTGAGGCAGCAGTGCTAACCACTGAGCCACCGTGCCACCCTAAATTAGCAGAGGAAAACTCGCGTTCCCTGACCAGTAATCAAACCCCAGCCACGGCGGTGAGAGCGCCGAATCCTAGCCACTAGACTACCAAGTTGGCACTGTAGTACACCATTTTGCAGACTAAATTTCAAATTTGGGCTCGCTCTAAACTAAACAATTGCATGCTACTAATTCACCTAAATCACTTCACTGCAGGCTTTGAAGGAGTCTGCATTAAATTGGATTGATGAAAGAAATACATTTTTGGCCAAGTTTTTCAAAATACTGATGTCCAAATAATAGGGCTGAAACTGGGCATTGGTTCTACATATATTTAGGCTCACTTTGACACGAGACAAGGGACATCTAACTATGTGTTGCTGTCAGATTGAGTTACTTTAAGATACTGTTATTGTTCTAATTAGTTTTTACTGTATTTTAAACAAATGATGTGTAGAGATTCTCAAAAGACATCTAAACAATTTATATTTGAATTCAATAGTGAATATATTGAAATAGCGGGAGTTTCTGCTAGATACTTCTAAAGCTGACCAAACTAATGCACAGAGGTAACAAGGTGTAGAGCTGGATGAACACAGCAGGCCAAGCAGCATCAGAGGAGCAGGAAGGCTGAAGTTTCGGGCCTAGACCCTTCTTT